CCCCCCACTGAAGGCATTTGCGTTCAGACTCACAAGTGAGTTTGTGAAGCTAAACGAAGGCCGGATCTCTAACAAACTTCGCTGTCGAACCCGACAAGGGGTTTACGACTATACAAAGATTGTAAGTAGACAGTGGTCTATGTCATGATTGGGTCTAGATATCTCCACTCTGAGTCACTGTATGTAGGTGCCAATACTTTACGAAAATACCACTCCAATAATCAATACTTGGGAAATACTGAAGCCAATTCGATTAAAACAAGAGTTATTCAGGATAAGACTCAAGTAGGAGAATTTAAAGAAAGGCTATGTTAGAAATCTGTCCTAGTTAAGCTTAGTGCTGGTCCGTACTTCATCAATGAGCAAATAAAAGTTGAGTGGTCATAAGACGCGCGCAGAGACATGAGACAGCGAGTGTGTACGAGAGTTTCTTAAGGGAGACACAAACGTCCTATTGGAAGGAATAAAGTAAATAAGGGATATATAAACGGTGGCAACTTGACTACCTAAAGTTTAATCATAAAGTGTACTAATACGACAAAACAGCACGAGTGTATATCTGTTGTCTGGTCTGACGACAGAAATTAGCATACAAAGTGTTCTATTTACCCAAACTGACTCATTGACACTTTCTCCGACCAAATCTTATTCCTTCCATTTCTTGTTGATGTGGATTCTATGGCAGGATTGAAAAGCTTCAGAATCCTCTACCACGAGGGGGGAGGGGCTGCCAAGCACTTAGCGGCAGAAAATTCATAAAGAGCAAACCATCTTCATTTTTCGGGCTTTCGGTGACCAATCTGCCAGTGCCTTTCAGTCGAGGTTGATGCTCTCAATGATGGAGAGAATGAAAGACTCCACAGGATACGCCAACTAAGCTCCTTCCCCTTTCTCCCCCAACCCCTATCCGCCATTAGACTAAAGCTGTTGTAGCCAACTTTTAGTAAGTTGAATTTCAACAGCTCTTCAGCTAATGTCTCATTTTCTTTATGAAGACCTGTAACATTCATTTGTCGCCGGTTGCACAATCAAAAAATAAATCCCTCATCTGTGTTCTGACTAGCCTCTAATCTTTCATCATCCACCTTAAGAAATGAAATTATTATGATACTAATAATCGAAAACTCCAGAGCCCATTAAGAAGGTTTTGTTCAACATTCATTATGAGTAGGGTGTGGCGTCATAGGTCTTTTGGATGAGGCATTCGAATTCTACTACTCTCTACATTACCTAAACGTAAAGAGTACGGTTGGCCAATCCCCTCACAGAGTATGAAGCCAATGAAAATTAAACCCTCGGCCTCCACCATAGTAGATCTAGACGGTTTTATTATAGGGATATTCGTCAAGGATGCTTTTAAACCTCTGAAGGCATCGGTTAGTCTGTCCAATCGATGAAATGATAGGGCAGGGATCATCCGCATACTCAAAGTGTCCACAAGACCATTCAAGTCCTGAAGAACTCAAAAACAGGTCTTCCAATTCCTCATAAGTCGTATGCGCTTTATCTAATATTAGCCGAAATATTGAATTGAAGAGAAGCTGGCCTTTCTGGGATCTCCATCTGATAACTCACTCTCCATAGTAAATCTCTTTCACTAGATACTCTGATGTCTCTCGTGTTTTAGTCCCGAGGGCTTGCCAAGAGATTTAATCTGCGTATTTTGAAATTGTGCGGCAAAGTTTCACAGGACTGCAATACTCATTCGTCCTAGCAACATTTTTCAAGCAGCAGTCTAGACAACACTAAGTCTATGATCACCTTACTGTCTGACGATGGGAAAGCGGCGAAAAATCGTGTTCATGAAACGACAATTTACTGCACTTAAATGCATATGCATACACACCATGGGTGTTCAATGTCTACAGTCTTAGGTTTGCCAAACAAAACGGATTCTTTGACGTGAAGTGGAAACCAATATGGAAGAAGAAGAAGCTTGAGTTGCTTCTAATGCAATTAGTATTGAGTTGAATTGGGGCTATGGCACTAATAAGGACAATACGATTAGGCGACTTCTGATTATTCTAGATGGTGGAAATGACATGACGGTTGCAAGGCTGCAATGTATCCAGATTCTTAGCCATCTTTTAGTACTGTTTATCCAGATAACATCGTGTATTTAAAAGTGCACGAATTCGTTTTCCGGTGCACCTAATGACTTCCAGCACACAACTAACCGATTGTTTGTAATTCGTACTCCAAATTAAGTAACACCACCATATACGACAACCGGGGTGTGAGATAGACTTACCTCCACGTGGTGCACCCTGGGCAACGTATCAATAGACTTACCTCCACGTGGTGCACCCTGGGCAACGTATATTCATACGGCAAAGTCTATTAACTGGTAGTTGACTTCTCCCCATACGGCAAAAAAGCCTATCAACCGGCAGTTGACTTCTGACTTTAAACTACCATCACCCTACTGTATGTCATGTTCAACCCCTATCCCAGTACTCATCTTACCCTTTCTGAGCCTTGGTGGCTGTCTGTTTATTTTACATCTGTGAATCACTCTTCTGTTCTCCCTCTCGAAATTCAATTCCTCCTCCCCTCTGTGAAGCCCGAAGTCAACTACAGGGCTAATGATAACTATCAAAACGCCTGCCATTTGTTATAAATAAATAAATATACGACAACCAGTGCCTAAGTTTCAAGAGAATATCAGGATGCAGAACACACTTACGGATTTGAATGTCACTCTTGGCCAACTTCTCACCACACTCATCAGCATTAACTAGTATATTAGATCACTGTTAATGTTCCTGTTTTTTACTTTTATACATCTCTATTACTATTTGCACTTTATTTTCAACTGTAACAATTGCGCAACTCTAGGGCAGCAGTAGCAGCAGCATCGAATTTCAAATTAAACCCACCAACCAACCAATTGACCAGTAAATACGACGCGCTAGACTAAGAGAAGAGAAGAGAGGGGGGGAGACGATGACGAACACGCATTTCATTGGTTGGCAGCAGCTGATCGCAGCCACAGTGCTGAATCATCCCCCCACACACAACCATTACTAACCCTTACCCGGCCTTCCAATTTTAGATTGTGAACTAGTCACAGACTCTGATTGGGCAAGCCAACCAATTGCAGACTGTAGCAACAATACGCGACCATCACTACCTTCTACCTCATATTCTCATTTCGCTCGGTGGTTGCTCGTTTTTTTTCTCTCTCTCTCCCCCTCTCTCGGCTGCTCGCGCGCGGTTTACAAACAACGCGCCAATAACTGCTGCCATTCCAGACACAATGGGTGTGTGTGTGTGTGCGTGTGATTTCTATTTCCAAGTTTTGTACCTATATGGATACAACGCTGATCCACATACAAGGATGAATGAAACCCCCCCCCCCAAAAACCAGTGCGCGTGAAACTGTGGGACACGAATGGAAGTTAAACCACTGCACTGTCACCTTATGTTGAAGTAGCGAGTTCTGGAAAGCACAGTGCCCATTAAAAGTATAGCTTTCATTGCCACCGTTTCACGTTTGGGAAATTGCGATAGTCCAAAGCTCAATAGCACTGAAGCTAATCGTTTTTTTTCCAAATCCCATCATGTGCGGGATAGTAACAATGAACCTATGCGTGGCGATATAATTAATTTCTGCCACCCACTTAGTACTGATTGCCCATTTCGCCCATAAGTTACACAAAATTGATCACAGAACTCGTGAACCCCGGCCTGGCACACAAGGAGGGACAGCGTTTTCCATCACTCATTGTGGGCAGCTTCTACACACTCGTGATAAGCGGTGACGGTTGATCTGTAATAATATATATCTTTAATCTGCAACATCTAACGTGACAGCAGATATACAAGTCCTCGAACTGCTAACAACCAAAGATAGTACCACCAAAAGGTATACTTTGAATCGAATAGGAAGCAAATTTTCACGACTCTCGAAGAGCGACATAAGAAATTCACCAGATAGAAAGTGGCGAGTAAAGAGGCCGTAAAGAATAGCAAATGAACGACTTTGAATGTTCAAAGCTCCAAGTACTGAGGAATGCGCATCAAAAATTCATTGCTAACCATACAAAATAATGAACTCAAAGGCGAATAATATGGGGGCAAAAGTGGGGTCTGCAATCAAGCATCACTTTTAGATGTTAAAACCACGAGTCAGAGTATCACCCATATACGTACGAATTGAGTAGGCCTAACTCAACAAAACCAATCGATCGTGTGACCTGCGTTCCGATTTATCAGAGGAAAACAGTAGGTAAAATTGCTAGTATAGATCCCCACACAATTAAATTGGAGGACTTATGACATCACACCCCCCCCCCCCCCCCCCTCCCCCCTGCTCGCTCTCCCTCTGGAGAAAAGGGTTAAGGAACACTTCACAATTTGTAAATAGACTTGAGCATCTTTCACACGCAACTCGAATTCAAAACCCATTATCTCCAAGATAATAATCACGCATCAACGAATCCAGAGAACAATTTTTTTATAATTGCCATCGAGGGAACTGGAACAAAGTACGCGAAATGCGTGACTATGGAGATGTAAACAAATGGTGAACTTCGTTCCTGAGAATCGAGATTTGTTTAAGTAATCAATTGCCTCCAACAGGATGTAATGCTTTAAAGCATCTGCAGCTGGAAAGATAATCCCTCTTTTTGCAGCACAACTCTGCGATAAGGTGGATTCAATGAAAAGTCGTCTTCGATGGTCATCATAAGTACACTTGCCACAGAAACTAAGTGGTGATTAATGACTTCACTGACTCTTCACGTTCGCTTTGTCACTACTTCCTACATCGCATGAACCGTTGTGTTAAACAGGAGTCACAACAGTGAGACGCACGCGCGCGTCTCGTAAACAGCCACTGCATACGCTACACTACTAATTAAAGCATTTGTCACTGTTGTGAATGGTATTAATTGGAGACAGCTTCTTTGGTAACGACAAGGCTATCGAGACAAAAAATGAAGCAAAAGTGCCCCAGACCACCTCCGGCACTGAGAGAGAACCCTGTTGGAGCATTATTTTGTAGCTCAGCGTTCGTAAATGCAACTACAATTTCGTTCAATGGATAATTAATGAAGATGCAAATTAGGCAGAGAAATGCCGAAATTAGTGGGAATCTCATGACGGTGAGGGGGGGGGGTATTCTATTCGTTAGCCCAGCCCTGTCATTTCAAAATTGCTCAATACTGTTGAAGAGTGAATTGAATAAGCAAGACGGACAATCCAAAGTAAACCGAGGTGGGCAAGTAGTGGCTCAGTTGCTCCAAGGGACGGAACATGAAATTCAATCAACATTCAAAAAGGCAAATGAGGAGTCTTCAATACCGTGGCTTCAGTATAAGCATCTTTCTATCATTCTTCTCCCTCCAACCCCCCACCACTCCAAACCCTATCTTTCATTGAACGTGTCACTAAGCCATTTCAATTGCTTGCCCCACGATTAAGGCATGTAAAAGAACACAGGCCTGGTCTAAATTTAAGTGAAAGCGTTAAATTGGATGAATAAATGTCATTCGCATAGCGATGGTAGAGGCAACGCGTTACATCTGAGGTGGCAGGTACAATAAGTCTATTTTTGCCAAAACCACTGGAAACAAAGAAGAAAAATGCATGCCTGAATAAACACGATTAAACTAACCTTCTAGATGTTAGCATTAGAAATGGTGTAGCGGGGCCATCCAAATCGCTGCCCAATATGCACAAATTGGCCTCGAAAAAGCGTCAACGAGCGTGGCAAGCAACGTGCGCCAGTATTATTAAAATGGGGGGGGGTATTAAATGGGTTAATTTCATTTAACTACCAGGAGGGGCCAATTAAATGACGAAAACTTTTAGATTTAACTGAAAAATGTGGAACCAGAACCCACTCCCAATCGAATGCAAATCAGTTTGTTCTTAGTAGAACATTTTCATGGTATTTGGGAGATCACTAATCGAAGCGCATGAAACACACATTTGGGGCAATTAAGACGTATGGCAAGATCAACTTCCTAATGTCGATAAGTGCGCCTATTTCGACCACTTAAACCGTTCTGATTGACACTAATACACAATGTGCGATCAAGATAAGACCTATTCTCTCTGGGTGCCTCGAAAGGTGTTCATACACAGTTCCAGCCCTTTTTTCGTTTACATACTTTGACAAACTCTACTTCCATTGGAGAATGCTTGTGAAATTGCTAATCAGATTTTAAACAATGTGGTGCAATCTCGTGTCTCGTCTTCACCCCCCCCCTCACTTTGTGTAAATTAGAATATTTGGTTCTAAAAATTATATTCAAGGAAGCATTACCCCTACTGTGGACTATTTTTTACCGATTCTGAAATTGGCAGAGCACTTTTGACTACTGGAAGAAGGTGACATTTTTAACATGATTCATTTGCATTAAGGTAGCACTTTTCACAAGTAAAAACTCGGCCAAGAGAGTAAATACAATGGGCAATCATCAAAAGCAACTATAAAATTAAAGGAACTCTGGTGGCGTAAGCGTGTCTGTCAAATGACACCTTATCAGGTCGAAAGCCAGCCTTGTGTATGTCTAGCGCGATTAGGACAAACATAAATGAAGATAGGATAACAGCTTACAGTCAGATTGATTTCCCCTTGGGATAAAATTACCGATGGTAAAGTGTGCTCCCACCCCCCCCCCCAAACCCCCTACCATTGATATTAGAACCAGGACAAAAATTAGGTACTAGAATATGCTCCATAGAATCATATTTAGGCAGTAAATGGGTCACACTAATACTTCTGAGGATGAGTAAAGTGCTCTGCAAAAAATCCGCCAAACTCAGATAAATAAAAGTGAATTTAACAGATTTCCACCTCCAATACCTGTTAATACGAGATTTTTTAATGGCTGATAACTTAATTATAGTTAACTAAGAATTAAAGAAAAAATCTTACTTGCAACAGATCAATGGTTGCGCAGGAGTTCGGTGACAGGGAAGGCATCAAACTGGCAGTATTCCTATGCACATTTCCACTTTCAGCGAGTTTAGATTGACCTGGAGTCTGTCCCCTCTCATTCCCAGGCTCAGCCATATTCGTCATCATTGAAGGCAAAGTCAGCGTCGACTCAACATTGTTTACCCCACCTTTTGCCAATGCATGTCCAATCGCTTGCACTGCAGGCAGTAGTATCCTCACTCGCACTTTACCCAAAAATCTCGCCAACCTCTGCCTCAACTCGAGGTTCCCGGCGAAATCATGAGCATAAAACCGCGGTGTTCTAGTCCACCGAAGGAGAAATGCGAACACTCTCTCCTGCACGCGTCTCTTGTAGACCGAACAGAAGCGTCGTTTCATGTCTTCCACCGCCTTCTCCCTTTCGTGGGGGGTGAAATTTGGGTAGGGTACATTGTAGCGTTCTTCAAGGAGGGAAAGAAGACCAATAGGGGAGATGTACCGACGGTAGTACATGAGGAAGGTATTCACAGCAGGTGGATCAAAGTAAGCAGGGAAGGTGAGACGCTCAATGAGCTTGTAGAGACTGGCATAAAGAATCTGTGGCCGATGAAAGGTTTGATGGGGAAAGGGAGAAGAAACAGTGGGAGGAGAGGTGGTGGGAGGAGGCGGATATTGGGAACTGAGATGAGGGGAATGGATACGAGATGAAGTGAAGGCGGGAAGAGGGAGGGAGGTGGTGAGGTCATCCAAATTTTCCTGACCTCCTCCTAGGGATTCATCGTCAGTTGGAGAGGTCGGAAAGAGGTCTAAGTCAACATCTCCCTCGCCAAGTTTGTCGAGAGGATCCGTCGGTTCATCGACTGAGGCTGTAGTGGAGGCAGATCGAACGCGACTTGTAAGAGAGACCTGGAATAGACGATTTGTAGCGGTATTGACGGAAGGAATAGTTGATGTTTGGTTACCGGGAGGGGGTTCAAAAACTATCACATCGGGAGTATCTGGTTGAACGAATCTAAAAAATAGTACACGAAATCCCAAATATAGTCCTAGGAAAGCACATGAATAGACCAAAATGGCAAAATACAATACCTGTATTCATCAGAAGATGGGAGTCGGAGAGGAATTTCTAGTTTTGGCAATGTTCGAAGGTACCAATCATAAATGCTGAAAGGGGAAATGTAATGGGTGTCAATTTTCAAACTACTAATAGTGATATAAGTAGACTTCAACATACCGTGAAGTAGTAATGCTTAGTAGAGAGGCCATCCAGTCGGCTTTTTCCTCGGGCGTTGGAGCCTCAAAGTGAATGGTGTGAAATAGGACGCCTTGAGGTACGTCCGAGGAATTGGATGACATGGAACCCGCAACAGCAGCAATGTTCGTGGAGCTACCGTCGGCGCTTCCACCATCACCACTGAGCTGCCGTTGGTCAGCGTCGAAGAACTCGAGAGAAAAGGAACATAACTCAGCTTCTTCAAGGGTTGAATGGAAACGACGCGTTGAATCTATTCAAAATAAAATCATACAATCTATATGGGTCAAGTAAGGGTTGATTTGATTTGTGGCGTGATGAATTACCTGAATTAACTCTTTCCATATAACAATAGACACCCAACGTATAAGAAACCGTTCTAGCAAATTATAAAGACCATCAATCTAACATTTCGAATCGAGAATACGATATTGAGGGGGTATAATTGACTTCCCTACTAAAATTATCGAGGATGGGAAGGGCAGTACAAAATTTAGAGGCCTTGTACCTGAAACCGATTATTCCTGCACAACCCAGAGGACTGCCACTATGCGTCTCTCCTCATTTGTAAGGCCCTCATGGTTTGACCACTTTGAATTCTTAACTTCAGATAAAACTCATTTACAAAGACTCTGATGAGAGAGAGAGCTGCAGTTATTGGTCCTCAAGACCGAAGACTTGCGTTTGTTTATGTTTTTTGTAATCTCACATTTAGTCTGAGACAGAAGAAGACAAACATTCAAATATACTGATCCAGTAAATTAGCGAGGTGGTGTAGCACCTAAATTTTGGATTTACAGACCTATTAGCCGGCATAAGCTGCGATTTTGCAAAGAGCACACCCCTGTCTTTTAATAGTTATTTGTATCAAATGGCAGGCGTTTTGATAGTTATCATTAGCACTTTAGTTGACTTCAGGCTTCACAGAGGGGAAGGAACATCAAAGAGAAAAAAGTCGAGGGAGGGGGGGGGAACAGAAGAGTGTTTTAAAAATATAAAAGAGACAGACATAAAGGTAGAAAAATGGTGAGGTGAGTACTGTGGAAGCAATCGAATATGACATACAGTGGGATGATGGTAGTTTGAAGTCAGAAGTCAACTGACGGTTAATAGACTTTTTTTGCCGTATGAGAATACGTTGCTCAGGGTGCACCACGTGGAGGTAAGTCTATCGCACACCCCTGTCTTTTAATAGTTAAAAGAAGAGCAGGCTGATATGTACAAGCTTACACAAATGAAATGCGTTAGAGCTAAAAAAATATATCGATACCATTTTTTCTCCATATCATCGGATAAATCTGCTATAAGCGATCTCCTCTCACGTTTCAATCAAGACGCTATTGGTCGTAAGAAAATTGGGCACACATTAGCAGTCTAATGGGAAGGAAATTAATAGCCAAGTCCTAAAACTCCTAGTTGATCAACAATGCTGGTATAAATTTATTATCCAAGTCAATAACAGCTAAATCTTACTGACGCCTACCTTCACAGAAAAACTAATTTCGATCTGCGCTTTAAATAAACAATTTTTCAATTGAAGTACAGTTGAGCAAAATTAAGAATGGTATATAATTGGACTAACCAGATACAGTTCCACGCGACAAAGACGCAGAAGTGGGCGAAGAGAGGAGCAGAGAGGCACATTCCAGAATGAGAGATTGTTCTGGCCCTCCCGTTTCTCCAGAAATTTGCCTGGAGAATCGAATTGGAAGATAAGGTGCAGCGTCAATGACATGCACGCCGCCGCCACCGCCTTCAAGAGGGATACGACGTTTCACGCGGAGGGGAGTGGATTGGCCCCCTACTGCCACATTTACAACCATGGAAGAAGAGGCTAGACCTGTGCCACGACGTTCCACGCGCTTGCAGAGAAGAAGGCAGTTGGTGAAGAGGTAGGCTTGACGTTCAGAGGCGACACGTCTCCCCTCCTCTCGAACTAGCAGGCGACCCTCTAAAATTGCAGCACATGCACGATGAATCGTAAGTCTGCTTGGGCTAATTTTTGCAGTGAATCGAGAAAAGGACACATATCCGGACAACACATTGCCACCTACATTGTTCAAACTTACGGCACATGCACGCCGGTTTGACATCTATGCCCAACTCTCTCTCTCTCTCCCTCTCCTGCACATTTATCCAACACTATAAATCTATAAAATGCTAATAAATCAAGACGATATAACCGATGGCGGAAGGAACTAGACAAACTCTGCATATATAGGAGACATAGTCCCACTCACGAACAGGGAAACCAAGGCAAGAAATTCGCGCACATCAGAACATGGACTACCTACCTCTTCTCGACACTCTACTTCATTTCTTACCTTATTGAGATCATTCTTTACCTCAAACGCCTTCGTATGCCTAAAAAACTAATACCTTCTGTACTGATAAGAATAATACTAATAATAATCAGTAGTCTCACCCATCACAAATTTGCCCAAATTCGAAGCGGCACAATTTAGAAGTCGATCCTTCCCGCCCGTAAGCCTCTCCAACTCCTCAATCTTGGCCTGAGTCACCGCACCACAAACTCCTGTTGCCATTAGCGCCGATAACAGTGCATCCATGTGCTCTTCCGCCTTCTCTTCCACCAGACCGGACGCCGAAGCGTTCTGAGATGCAGATGTGGAAGAGGCGGCATCTATATTGAAGAGAGACCCGCAGATGTAATTCCCAAAAGCCCCTACAGTAGTGAAAATAGGCATTAGAGCTGCTGTGGAGGAGGATTGTTGGGGCGTCTGTGAGGTCATGCCAGTATGAGGGGGTGGAAGTGGGGGAGTATTGTATCGGTGATAATGGTGATGATAGGCGGAGGAGTCTCGACGCATTGGAGGTGTCATGGTCTGAGCAGGAGATGCTGAGTAACTCCTGTGATGTGGAGCTGAAGAATTAATGAGAGGTGAAGTGATTGCATGGGATAACAAGGAGGTTGAGCTCGTGACAAGGTGTCCTGTCGACAGCAGACGTGCTAATTGGACAAGCAAGTCTGGGTACCGAGTGAGAATACTTCGGATCGTTAGCCGAGGACTTAAAAGGTATTCCAGAACAATTTCGAGGTGTTCACGATCTGATTCATTGACGGTTTGTGCATAAAGGGCCTAATTAATCAAAATAATGCTTAGAGCAAGATGGACAATTATTACTTAACTAATTAGAAATGTGGAAAAACAAACATACATTTGCAAGACGATAAAATTGAAAGAACTGAAATATTGGAAGGAGAAGAAGACGGGGTAGAAGGTAGCGGAAACAGTTTACAACCAAGTTACAGTTGTGGGCGGGGGAATTCATTTCTTTTGAGGAGCGCTCTTTCTGGTCCCAAGCTCGACAAGAAGAACAGTAGAGAGAATGAAGACAACACAGGCGAGGCTCCATCAAGTCGGATGCTATTGGCTATAGAATGAAAGAAGAAAGATGAAGGAAACTGCTCTTACAGACATCATTCAAGACAATCGCATCTTCAATCCTATTTTAAAGTGGGGCCTAGTAGCCTCAAAACCAAGCCAACAATGACCTCTAGATAGGCGAAGATGTAGGTGGAGAGAGAGAGGATATATGATCCTATTTAGAAAAATACTGGCATATTTCCTTATTTACGACTTTTCACTGTATTATATATATATATATATATATATATATATATATATATATATATATATATATATATATATATACTGCTACACTACTAGAATCGAAAGAACATGCATCGGCACTAATTCGAATCAGATCCTTTTTGAGACCTCGACATAGTTGGCTACTCCAGCCATTAATATCTGCAAGACATTTCAACAGTTGGAATGTGCGATAGACTTACCTCCACGTGGTGCACCCTGGCAACGTATATTCATACGACCAAAAGTCTATAAACCGGCAGTTGTCTTCTGACTTCAAACTCACTGTATGTCCCATTCGACTACTTCACAGTACTCACCTCACCTTTTTTCTACCTTTGTGTTTGTCTCTTACATCTTTGAAACATTCTTCTGTTCCCCCCTACTCTCAGCTGTTTTCACTTCGATGTTCCTTCCCCTCTGTGAAGCCTGAAGTCAACTAAAGAGCTAATGACAACCATCAAGACGCCTGCCAATTGGAATAAATAAATGATAACTACCAAAACGCCTGCCATTTGATATAAGTAAGCTAATGACAACCATCAAGACGCCTGCCAATTGGAATAAATAAATATATTTCAACAATTTCATTAGTACTTGATGCATTGAAAGAAATTCTAAGGTAGAGGGAGGGAGGGGGGGGGGCATTGAGGAGACTTCTCGTAGTAGCCTAAAAGCGAATTCTTTTTCGTTGAAATTTAGCCTCATGGCTCTACGCGTTTGGTATTTTCGGCCGCTAGCCTTGTATTACTGGTAAAATGATTCATTACAGAATTTCTATTCCCCAGCTATCATATATCCTAAACCTGACTCAAAAAGGACTACCCTAATGGGGACAAAATTCGTTCAGCACCAACGGTTAGAATAAAGTCCACCGACCTCCTTGAGCTCTTTTACTCAAAATAGCGATTCTCTGTTGTTATTACTGTAAGATGATTAACTACATGCAAGGACATTTTGCCTGATAGCAGCGAAACTAGACCGTCTTTACTCCAAAAATACTGAAACTCAAAGGGAAGCATTTGGTGTAGTCCAGAGGATGTATGATGCAACTAGAATTTTGGAACATGAGCCACCTATTGACTAAGTATCCTACAAACAAAACCCAAAAATTTCAATAAAGAAGGAGCTTTAGGTACCTTGAAGCTGTTCTCCTTATCATATATCGAACCCTCTGTTAATCGATTTCAGTTACCGTCCACAATTACAATTTACAATTTTTTGCATTACTGTGGTTAACAATAATTATGATATAAATAATAACCAAACCAATGGTGGTTAAGAAGAGGACAAGTTAATGACAGATTGAGTACCTTAATCCTTGCGACAGTATACACGATTGATCGACTAGATTTAGCAAGACTATCCAGTACATCTGAATGTTCAGTCAGCCTCCAGAAATTCTCCAGTATTTCTGGAGTGTCCATACAACTGGCATTGGAGAAGTCCTCAGCACATTCAATCAGCAGACGGCCAACAAGACGTCGATTCTCAGTCGACTCCTCGGGAGATTGCTGCTGGTTTCCGCTGCTTTCCTGATCCTCATTTGAAGAGGCTGTGAAAGGAGGAGGACCGCCGGGTGTCGCAAAAGGCAAGTCGTCTGTACAGTCGGATTCCAGATAGTCAAGAAGGAGACGGAAGTTGTTATAGAAGTCCACCGCCACTCGAAAGACCTCACTCACCGCTGTCTCGTCGTTGGATTCTTTTCCGGCCAGGGTGGCGTTGGAGGCGACAGAAGGGGAGATGACTGCAGAGTGGAGGATGGGTTCACGGAATATCCGCAGAATTAAATTCATCTGCTCAAGGCTGGTGGAGACGAATGTTACCAACTCCTTCACACATCTTGATAAGATCGAAAAAAAAACACATTGACTAAAGTTAAAGCATTAAGGCCTATGTAAGTAATGAGAAAAAATAAAATAGGCGAGTACCGGCCGATGTAAGATAAACACTTATTGGCCTGTCGCTAGCTGTCAAAGAGGATTGGTCTTGGTGCTACTAAACTGGATCCCTCTATTTGGTCCTGTTTCTTTTTTACTCAGTAACATTCAATAACGATGGAGGAGGGGGGGGGGGGGGGTAGAGGAGAGGTGGTTTATTTTATGCAACTTTCATAGATTAGTTTCGAACTCGCTTAACTGGCCACAATTATGCACTAGACTACCGAAATATTGCTCAATTCAGACAAGATTGCTGCCTTTCCTATACCTGCCCTTAGCTGTAGGGAAGGTGGAAATGAATCAAGGTGACACATTACCAATCACTGTAAAGGAACTATGAGCATTAGGAAATAAATAAAATTGAATTTTTCGTTCCTTAGGAGAATGGGGATAATTCAATGCTCGCAGAATTAGAAGCAAAACTCTTGACATTCTAAGCTTTACTTCTACTTCTTCTCCACACTCTCGCCTCACTTCATATCAACTTTACTTTCGCATTTTTCGGAAGTTTTTTTAGAGTGAATAAAAGATTGTATTTTCCCTTGTATTGCAATAATAATGTAATAATTGCAAAGTATGGATAAATAAATGAATTAAACATTTTACCATCCATTAATCTAATGCCACCTTCTCCCCCTCCCCCTCCCCCCCCCTCTCCCAGCTCATGAGAGGCGAATTCATGTTCCAATTTAAAATGGCCCAAATTCGAACCCTGTCACAGTAAACTTGACAGCTACCATTAACTCAATTTTGAACCAGTTGGTGCAATAAATGGACTGCAGAGCGCCCCCTCCCCCCCCCCCCCCCC